GGGGACAGCTTGAGGCTCTGTCTCAAAAAAAAAAAAAAGAAAAGACCCCATGCCTCCTCTACCTGAACGCAGACCCTCAGCCAAGAGGACTTGTGGCCCACAAGGGACAGCACGAGTCCAGGCTTCCACACTGCCAGTCTCCGCCTTTGGAGGAGGAGCGGCTCTGCCTGGACAAGTGAACTTGAGCTATTTTTGGTGAAAGCCTGTCCCAGGGGGCTGCAGAAGGGTGACGGCACCCATTTCTCCTCTTTGGCTGCCGTTGTCTCCTCTACCCCAAGAGGGGTGATCTGCACATTGACCCAGGAAGGAAGGAGCCTGCAGCCTGCTCCGGTGGTGGGCTGGTGACTGCAGAGCTGTGGCTTGCCTCTTTGAGAGTCCTGCATGAGGGTCTGGACGCTGCTCCATCTTCCTGCTCGACCTCCCTTCTGTCCTTCTCCATCTTGCCCGCTCTGTCCTGCTTGCCTGGCAGGTGCCGTGATATCCCTGCCTGAGGGAGAAGCGTTTTGTTTTTATCACTATCCCCGTCTCTGTCACGTCTGCCCACTGTGTGTCCTCAGTCAGTTGTCCTCACTTCTCAACATTAGGGAAAGGAAAAATTAAAAAACAGAAACACTTCTCCCCATCTGCATCTCTGCCAGCTCCTTCTCAGGCCTGGGGACATTCTCCTCTGGGCTCAATCTGAGGTCACACCTCATGCCCCTCAGGGGAGGTGCGGAGGAGAACTTGGCGGGCTGAGGGACGTCCTGTGAGGCTGGTGCTGTGTGTGCTGGGATGAAGGGAAGGTGGGGGGCTAAGCCCGAGTGGCTTCTGTGTCGATGGGGAGAATTCTAAATGGAAAGTGAGAGAAGGGAATAGAACAATACAAAACTCCCCCCAATCCCTGTGCATATCCTTCTTAAGTTTTAGGAGTTAGGGCCTACAAGTAGAATTCTTAAGAACTGCATAACAGTTTATTTTTTTACATCTAGAAGAGTCCAAACATGTTTGGAAATCAGCTTTTCCTGTGGTCTGGCCAGGTGTAAATATTTACCTGTCTGATCCAACAGTGATGATGCATGTGGGGTGGGGTGAACATAGTCAGGACTCGGGCAAGTCACCCCCACCCAGTGAGCGCTATAGTCACTAGGTGCTGGGCTCACAGAAATGAAAAAAGCACCAGGTCTGCCCTCGGACCGCGTGGCTTCTCAGGGACAGTCCAGCTGTCCCCGTGTGCTAAATGTGCACACACAGTGCTAAGGCTCTGCCTCGTGTCTTCAAGGAGACTGAGAAAGCTGCTCAGAAGTGACTTCCCGGCTGCCCCTTGCAGGGCCCCAAGTACCCATGTAGGCCAGCCGAGCAAGGAGACTCAGGAGTGAAGGAAGATGGGACTTGAGGAGCAAGATGGCTGTAGTCTGTTCCACTTCTGGGGCTTGAGTCATTTTAAGGAAGCCTCAAAGATCATGGGGGGTCTGATTCTCTGAGTGCCAGAATCCCAGTCTCAGGTAGAACCTGGGGTGGGGACAGGAGATAGGTGCTATTCATCTGAAGGAGTGGGGCCCCTCATGGATGGGTCTGCAGAGCTGCTAACGCGCTCTTCACACCAACTCAGCCCTGGAGGAGAGGCCGGCGGCGATGGCGTCGCCCCTGTACCTGGAGATCATCATCTACTGCACGGGGGCCTTCCTCATCTCCTGCATGGTGGGCTCCGTCATCATCTGCAAGATGAAGAGCAGCACCAAGAAGAGCGACTTCCACAGCCAGATGGCCGTGCACAAGCTGGCCAAGAGCATCCCCCTGCGCAGACAGGTAACAGAAAGTAGATGGGGGATTCGCACACTCAACAGCGCCCTCTCCCTGCGCCCAGGACCCTGCAGGCTCCTCTGATGCCCCGCCCTCCTGCTGGGTTCCGAACCTACAGCCTCAGGCTTTGCTTTCCTGCTTCTAGGCCAGGCACAGTGGAACATGTTTCACTAAGTGAGCCAGAGTCCCTTTCAAGCTGGTCTCTCCTGTGAATCCCTGTCCATCTCCCTGTGCCCCACTGCAAGTCCCCTGCCCTTTGGCACGTGGACTGGGAGACCATCAGTCCATATCAGTCCATGGGAGATTATCTCCATATTCAGTCCTGTCTGCTCTGAATATGCTCCTGGTGGCATTTGGAGGTACAGAGATGTAGGGTGAGCAAGAGGCCCCAAGCTGGTCCCTAGCTGCTCTGGCCCCCGTGTGCCCACCCTGCCCTCATGAGAGGGAATGCAGGAGTTCAAGACCAGCCTGAGCAAGCACGCAACCCCATCTCTACTGAAAATAGAAAAACCAGCCGGGCATCATGCCGTGCCCCTGTAGTCCCAGCTATTAGGTTAGCTAAGGCAGGAGGATTGCTTGAGCCCAGGAGTTTGAGGTTGCTGTGAGCTATGATGCCACAGCACTCTATCCAGGGCGACAAAAAGAGACTCTGTCTCAAAAAAGAGTGACCGTGCACCCAGAACCTTGCTAATTGTGAAAGCTGCTTTGGGAATTAGGAATCCACAAGCTGAGGCAGAGTTTTCACAAAGAATTGGGACAATAGCAGGGTTGTTATTGTGATGATAAGTTAGAATGTCAAGCTGGCATAGCCATTCATGGTCTACTCCTAACAGTGAGTAAGATAAAGCCCAAAAAAAGCTAGTCGGTGGCGGGAATAGGCCAGTCCTTGGGTCTTGTGGCCCCGTGTGGTCTTTCCACCACTCTCTGTAACAAAGAATGTCAGAGGCACAGAATCACGTCTCTGCCATTGCTGGGAAGCTCTGGCTCAGTATGTGAGGAGTTAGCTCTGTTGCCCACTCCTTGCTAGAAGGGTGACCCCACTCTTTCCTGTAGGTGTCAGCCGACTCCAGTGCCTCCATGAACTCTGGGGTTCTGCTGGTCCGGCCCTCACGACTGTCCTCCAGTGGGACACCCATGCTTGCTGGCGTCTCTGAGTATGAGCTCCCCGAAGACCCTCGCTGGGAGCTGCCTCGGGACAGGTAATGCTGTGACCCTCAGCTCTCTGTGGGCTGCTTGTTCTCGTGATGGAAGGTGTGCACACCCTGAGCCCTAGGGGGTGAAGGCACATGAAATGCCTTTAAAAGAGTCATTGCCACCTTCTGCTCTCAGCTGGGTAAAATACAGAGAGGTGGAGGTGGGTGTCCTATCAGGGCTTGAACTTCCCCAGCCCTCACTTATGCCATTTTCTGTTTCCCCCCAAAGACTGGTCTTAGGCAAACCCCTGGGAGAGGGCTGCTTTGGGCAGGTGGTGTTGGCCGAGGCCATTGGGCTGGACAAGGACAAACCCAACCGTGTGACCAAAGTGGCTGTGAAGATGTTGAAGTGTAAGTGAGGTTTCTGCCCTTGTAAAACTGTCCTTTCCCTTTCCAAGCAAACTGTGAGCCTCGGGCCAGCGGGACACCACCTCCTCGGCGCTCGCTAGGAGTGGAGGGGGCATTCTGTACCTGACAGCGCTGTGATCTCACTTTGTTCCCTGGCATCAACCCGGGCTATGTCAGGTGTTTATTCTAGAGCCCATCGACTTCCTTACCCTCGTCCCTGCCCACTCACCACCACGAGTGGCAGCAGTGGCTCTCTGTTCCACATGGCGTGAGAGAGAACCAGGCCCCAGAGAAAAGCCTCCTCGGCGTGCACCCACTCCCATTGCCCTTAGTCTGTCTCCTTCCTGCCCCTCTCCCTCCCAAAGTAAGCAAGCCTCATATTCTCTGGTCTGTGTGTAAAGCCGATGCAACAGAGAAAGACCTGTCAGACCTGATCTCAGAAATGGAGATGATGAAGATGATCGGAAAGCACAAGAACATCATCAACCTGCTGGGAGCCTGCACACAGGACGGTGGGTACCGTGGCCCTCACGGCCGCACGGGGGTGGGGGGTGAGGAGAGGCCAGTGCGGCAGAGGCTGTCGTGTGCTCCTGGGGCTGGGCTCATGCCCACTGGGGTTCATCTGAGAATGTGGGCAGCTAGATTCACACACCCAATTCGTGGACTGGAATAGGAGCGTGATTGTGGTCTAAGCAGGGCTTCTATCCCAACTTTGCTCCAGAAGTTTCTGGACTGTGTTGGGAAGAATGATCTCCCTGCCTTTCTTTAAGAGAATATTAAAAATTCCCCTGGCCCCCCAAACAGGAGGCAGAAAGGGCAGGTTGGGTGTGGTGTGTCGCTGGGGGTGAGTTTCCTGGAGAGGGGTAGTAGCCAAACCTCTGATGGCCCCCCACCCCCCCAGGTCCACTGTACGTCATCGTGGAATACGCCTCCAAGGGCAACCTGCGGGAGTACCTGCAGGCCCGCAGGCCTCCGGGGCTGGAGTACTGCTACAACCCCCGCCACAGTCCGGAGGAGCAGCTGTCCTCCAAGGACCTGATCTCTTGTGCCTACCAGGTGGCCCGAGGCATGGAATACCTCGCCTCCAAGAAGGTATGGAACCAGAAAGTCCGCGAGTGAAGCCAGGGTGGGGACAGAGCCCTCCCCACACCCTGGCTTAATGACTTTTAATGCTTTGGTGGAGTCAAGAACATTCTGGGCACTGACCCCGGTGCTGATTGAGACTCTCAGTGGCCTGGGGTCACACTGGATCAGGCTCACATCTGTCTGTGCCACTTTCTAGTATTTCCTCCAGTACAGAGTGAGAGTTAACACCTGTGTTGAGGAACTGCTGCAGGGATATGGCCTGGAGGGGCCAGCACAATTCTGGTGCTCAGTGCAGGGTGGCTTCGTTTGTGGGTGCAGGGGTGGGAGATAGGGGCAGGGCGTGCAGCCTCTGCAGACTGGACAGACACTTAAAGGCTGTTAGCTTTTGGGGAGGAGCAGGAAAGGAGGCAAGGAAGTGACCGAGAGGCTGGAGCTGCACTTGGTGGGCAGAGCAGAGTGGCCAGGCGGGAGTCCCACGGGGTGGGGACTTGCCCGTGCCTGCTGGGGTAGAGGGCCACCCAAACCCTAGGTGGGCATGTTTCACAGCTGTCAGCCCCCTTTCTTCTCCTACCTTTTGCCTTCCTTTCTCCCACCATCGCTCCTCAATCCCCCACAGTGTATACACCGAGACCTGGCTGCCAGGAACGTCCTGGTGACAGAGGACAATGTGATGAAGATCGCAGACTTCGGGCTGGCCCGGGACATTCACCATATCGACTACTATAAAAAAACTACGAATGTAAGTACTGCAGGTGTGCCTCAGACTGTGGGGAGGGTGGGTGAGACCTGGGCCCTGCTCCCCAGCCCTGTCCTGCCTGTCCCCTCATTTCGCACCTGGGCTAATCTCCCCTGTGCCACGTGCAGGGCCGGCTGCCCGTGAAGTGGATGGCTCCTGAGGCGCTGTTTGACCGGATCTACACCCACCAGAGTGATGTGTGAGTTTGGGACAAGCCATTATGGCTGGGCTTGGAGGCTCACACCTGTACTCCTAGCACTCGGGGAGGCTGAGGTGGGAGGATCCCTTGACCTCGGGAGTTTAAGGCCAGCCTGAGCAAGAGCAAGACCCTATCTCCGAAAAATAGAGAAAAAACTAGCCAGGCGTATTGTGGCAAGCACCTGTAGTCCCAGCTATTTGTGAGGCTAAGGCAAGAGGATCACTTGAACTCAGGATTTGAGATTGCTTTGAATCAGGCTGACAGCAAGGCACTCTACTCAGGGAGACAGAGATTCTGTCAAAAAAAAAAAAAAAAGAAAGAAAAGAAACAAGCCATGCCCAGGGATACAGGGGTGGAGAGCCTGCGGCACAGTAGTCCCGTGTGCCCCTCTGGACTGGGGAGAAGAAACAGCCTGTTCCCCGTGTTCACTCACTTTGCTCCCAGAAAGCCCCGTCCGTCCCCCACTCTGCCCCTGGCACTGCCCTTGGAGTGGAGGATTTGTACCAGGGTAGGGGAGACTGAGGAGGAATCCCTGAGACTTCAGGGCTCTATGCTTACCCACAGGTGGTCTTTCGGGGTGCTCCTGTGGGAGATCTTCACTCTGGGTGGCTCCCCGTATCCTGGTGTGCCCGTGGAGGAGCTTTTCAAGCTGCTGAAGGAGGGTCATCGCATGGACAAGCCCAGTAACTGCACCAATGAACTGTAAGCCCCAGGAGATACTGGAGGCCCTGAAGCCAGGCATTGGGGGCACAGCAGGCCTGCCTAGCAGAGAACTAGACGAGCGGGTGTTCCCCTGGGGGGAGCAGCCTTCCTGGTCACCCCTCTGCTCACGCCCTTCGGTCCTGACCTCACACCCCTGCCACAGGTACATGATGATGCGGGACTGCTGGCACGCTGTGCCCTCGCAGAGACCCACCTTCAAGCAGCTGGTGGAAGACCTGGACCGCATTGTAGCCTTGACTTCCAACCAGGTAAGGCTGCCTGTCACCTGGGTCCACCTTCCTGAGCTGCCCCAACCCAGGAAGGAGGGCCCCCAGCCATTGTTCCTTCCTCTCGCTCATCACAGGAGTATCTGGACCTGTCGATGCCCTTGGACCAGTACTCCCCCAGCTTTCCTGACACCCGGAGCTCCACCTGCTCCTCGGGGGAGGATTCCGTCTTTTCTCATGAGCCATTGCCTGAGGAGCCCTGTCTGCCCCGACACCCACCCCAGCTTGCCAATGGCGGACTCAAACCACGCTGACTCCCACCTATCACTCAGCCTCCCCAGATTCCATGGCCAACTGTAACCCTCAACCACAACTCCCTGCTGGGCCCACTGCCTGTCCCTGCCCCCTTTCCTGCTGGCAGGAGCCGGCTGCCTGCTTGCGGCCTCCCTGTATGGCCCCCTCCACCCCACTGAGCTTGCCTCTCTTCCTCCTCTTCCTCTCAGCCTGCTTCGAGGGAGAGGAGCAGAGAAGCAGGTTCTTGCTGATGGACACTTTGTTCCTTCCCAAATTCTGGACCAAGACGCCTCCCTGCCACTGGGCCCTGCTGTTGGGCAGTGGGAGATGAACTGCGTGCAAGGCAGAGCTTCCCGAGCTTTCCTGTGTCGGTTTTCTTGTTTCACCTTAACCCATGAGCCCCTTGCATTCTGGTGGCAGGTGCCTTGTCCTCAGGGCCGCAGCAGTAAGGAGGTCGACGCTTTGGGCCTTGACTGAAGACCACCTCTCCTCCAGATAGATGGTGCCAGTAGCTTATTAATTCAATACTAATTTGCTTTGCTGACCAAATACATGGTACCAGAAGATGGGGGGGCAGAGAGGCAGGGAAGCAGTGTTGTGGCCCTGGGGCCCAGCCCCGAAGTGGGGGCTTTGTACATAGCTATGAAGAAAACACAAAGTGTATAAATCTGAGTATATATTTACATGTCTTTTTAAAAGGGTCGTTACCAGAGATTTACTCATTGGGTAAGATGCTCCTGGTGACTGGGAGGCATCAGTTGCTATATATTAAAAACAAAGAAAAAAGAAAAAAAAGGAAAATGTTTTTAAAAGGTCATATATTTTTTGCTACTTTTGCTGTTTTATTTTTTTAAATTATGTTCTAAACCTATTTTCAGTTTAGGTCCCTCAATAAAAATTGCTGCTGCTTCATTTTATATGGGCTGTGTGGGCAGGGAGAAAATGTGCACTGGACAAGAGGGTGACTGCCGGGCCAGGGGGCACTGCACGCTCCCCGCAGTTCCCTTGTAACCTCTTCCTCTAGGTCCTGCACCCAGACCTCCAGGACCAACCTCTTACCTCTCGGATGCTTTTGGAACGGCAGGAAAAGAAGATATCTGCATTGTGGGCAGGAACCTCTGTCTCTGCGCCAGAGGTGCCGGGCATAGCGAGCCCTCAACCACTGATTGTTTCCACTAAGGAAACTGATGGGTCGGGCGGGGGCATCTACCTTGGATTAGCCAAAAGGGTGATTAAGAGGAAAACCAAGGATGATTCAACAAGGGTCTGCAGAAACACAAAACTTACCACCTGGGGCTGGTCTTTCATTCAGGTACCTTGGCTTCATTTGTACCAAACCTCCTTTGTTCATAATCTATCCCCACTCTCACTCCCACCATTCTTCCTGTATCCATGTGACCAGGCCGCATTTGTTGGGACTGTCACTGCTCTTGGCTTCCTTATAGTTCTTCCTTTCCAAACTCCACCCCATCCCTCAGGAAAGGGAAAAAGATTTTCTGAATGTTTTTGTGGTTTTGGTTGCTTGGAAATTGACTTCTGCCGCCTGCTGGTTGTCACTGGTCCTTACACGTAGATTCTGGCTTCTCAGTATCTTGACTGCTGAGCTGTTCTCCCTGCTTCTCAGCCTCATTTTTTTTAAAGCTCAATTTTTTGCTGTATTACTGATGAATGCAAAAGAAAGTTCAGGATGTTTTCCTTTCTGTAGGAAAACTGGGACTGCTGCTTTAAATTTCCTTTCTGATGGCCTGGCACAGTGGCTCACGCCTGTAATCCCAGCACTCTAGGAGGCCCAGGCAGGTAGATTGCTTGAGCTCAGGAGTTCAAGACCACGCTGAGCAAGAGCGAGACCCTGTCTCTAAGAATACCTGGGTGAAATGGTGGATGCCTATATAATCCCAGCACTCTGGGAGGCTGAGGCGGCTGGATTGCCTGAGCTCAGGAGTTGGAGACCAGCCCGAGCAAGAGTGAGACCCCATCTCAAAAATAGTTGGCCATTATGGTGGGCACCTGTAGTTTCAGCTACCAGGGAAGCTGAAGCAGGAGAATCACTTGAGCCCAATAGTCTGTGAGCTATGATGCCATGGCACTCAACCCCAGAGTGATTGAGATTGTCTCAAAAAAAAAAAAAAATTCCTTTCTGAGCTAGGTATTTTTTGGCAGTTGCCATATTGGTCACTATTGTAAAATTCTGTTTCTGTCTGTAAATATGCAACTGTTAACATATTACAGTTTGTGTTTATGTTAAAGGGAGCATAATTTGGTGAACAGAGCCAGGAAATGGAAATGGATTTTAGCTCTTAAAATCATTTGCTTCCAGACCATGCAGTAGTGTCTTTCCTTGTAGAATAGTGATCATAACTTCTGCTTAGCCCTCCCTTGAACCAATGTTGTGTGAATGGATGGAGAATCTAAAAGGCTTTCTGTGCTCTTGGGAGAGGTGCCAAAGAAATTTAAGGCACTGACACTGTAACAGTGGTGTCCCTGCGGTTGCTACTCAAATCGTCCATGAATTTCCCCAGAGACTGAGGTGGCTGCCAAATAAAAGATAGTGAAATTGACATGAGAAAATGAAACGGCCATTTTACTCAGATGACCAGACAGGGTCTCCTGGGGAGAGGACCATTCCGTCTGATGGAGATGCGCTGTCAAGGCGCTGAAGCTGTCTGGTTTCCTGAGGGTTAAAAGATTAGGGGCCAGGATCACCGTGGCATTAATCAATACTGCCTTTCCATCTTTTCTAATTGCCATAGCCTGGGGATCATCAATCCCTTGGCACTGCTGATGTACTGTATTGATCGCAGGTTAAGTAAGATTGAACAGCAGAGGAAGCAGGGCTTTCACTGGTAAAGAAGTCACTGTGTCCTCCAGCCTCCACTGGGGGGAGCCAGCGGGCCGGAGTCTCGGTTCGTGCTGGGTAATCCCGTCTGCTTTAAAGTTACATGCATCTGAGTGGTGAGAAATCTTCAGCCTGGGTTTAAGCATCACGGCACATTGGTTTGACATCACCAGTCTGACTTGTACGAAATGACTGTAGTACAGAATTAGACATGGCACAAGAGCAGGGCCATAGTGTCAAGTGCTACCAGCTCTTCTCTGTAGCAGCAAAATTCTCTCTGAGACACAGGCCTAGACAAACATCACTGTACTTAGAGACGGCCTAAAGTCATACCCAGTGAGATGACTGGTGCATCTGTGGGGAAGAGAGCAGGGACAGGAAGCCAAGAGCAGCCTGGCACAGCCTTTTATTCCCCCAACAGTCATCCCAGGAGAGGGAAGGGTAGCAAGAACCCAGCTGTCAGAGGAGACCCGGGAGGGTCCCTCTCAGTGAACACAATAGTATTTAGTGTCACTTATACTGTGCTGCCTCCCACATGCACGTCTCAGCAGGTAGCAGTGATAGTTTCATGAACATGCTGGTGCCTCTCTGGTGCGGTGGTTTTGTTGTCTTTTTGTTACTGCTATAGGGGAGCCGGGGTCAGTGTGATGTGCTCCCAAGAGCCCATGGTGCACATCAGTGCAGTTCACTCTGCACTGCTGGCTGAACCCTTGTTGGGAGGTTTAAATAAACCAAGGTGGGAGTATTTAATCACTGGAATGTACAAATGCTATAAATCAGGGCTTTCCTTCCTCAAAGAGTTGGTTGTTGATCATTTATCAGAACACCCCTAGCTAGGTTTCAGCATGGGGCTAGGTCTAAGAATCGTGGAACCCAGCAGCCAGGCACCCTAAGTGAGCTACTATTTTAAGAATGGGAAGAAAGGCTTATCAAGTGACCCCAGTCCCTTCACCTATGATACCCACTCTGCTGCTAGAGAAAGCCAGGAGGAAGTGGCAATCAGCCCAACAGTACCTATGACTCAGTCAGCAAAAACAGGAGTGAGCAGGTTGACTAGCTAATTACTTCACCACATTTAACACCTTAAATGTAGGCTAAAATAAACACCAATCATTTTAAAAACATGAAAATTTATTATGAATCACCTTGCTAGGCCAATGGCAGGATCCCTGGAAGGCTGTATTTGCATAGTAGGGGTTTACCTTTCTCAGGGAAATAGAATTCATTAGCGGGACATGGTGGGGCTTGTCCTCTGATGGAGCAGAGATTTAGGAAGCATTTTCAACCGTAGATTCTTGCCATGAATTGCCAGTGATACTCCTCATTTAGGGGATCCCAGAAAAGGCAGGTTTGCATTTTACTTGGTTTAACTGACTCTCATCTAATTGCTATTAACTTCATACCAAGTAAAGAAGAAATCTTACTTTTATCACCTACAGGCTGAAATACTTTTACCTTCTAACCACTCCCCAGTGGGAGGAAGCTGTTTCTGTTACGCTGAGTATTAACAACACTGCACAGAAGTAACTGGATGCGGTGCTCCTCACTGGGCAGCCCGGGGGCCACATCCAATGCTCACAACCCATGTGACTAACAGACAAACTGACCAGAAAAACACACCCAGCACAAACAAATGGTTAAGACTTAAATCCTTAATTATGTTTCCTAGCACAATGGGGGCTAATGAAAGCCACATGTGCTAGAGTAGTGGCTGCCTCCTGGATTCTGGCAGCCTCTGCAGGCCCACAAAGGGGACGTCTATCAGAGCAGCTGAGCAGCAGCCAGACTTTTGTGATTGCCTGTCTATTTAACTCCCCATTTTCTCCTCCAAAGAGTTTGGAGTTTTCTCTTCTTCAAAGCCAGAAAGACCTTACTGGGGAGAACGTCCATCCCATCTCATGAGGTACTTTGCTTTCAAGGGTACTGTTCCTGCCAATGGATTGATCGAAAGAAGTTGGTCTGGTACTCTTAAAGTGGTTTTCAAAGTTTCCAAGTTCTTACTTGGGACTCTGAGCCATGAGAGGCAGAGTGATGTAAGGTGCCAAGCTGACTCCATCATGCAGAAAATGTCCTCTCTTTAAGGGACGTGCAAATAAAGGTGGCTGCTCAAAACCAACATGGGGGAGGGTGGGCTCTGAACCGAGTTTGGTGGAATGACATAATGGTACAGAGAAATGTTGGCAGTTCTAGTTCTCTAAATGGTCTGAACTTGGCCTCACTGCTGAAATCACTTGGATACAAGGCTTGGTACAAGGCTTCAAAGGACTAGCCCCAAGGGCTACATATCTGATCCTCTAGCTCAAGCCAGACAGACAGTCCTCGCTGGAAGGTGGGACTGCTGAGGGCCGGAAGCTGGAGAGAGAGAGCTCTGCCCTCAAGTAGTCCTCATGCTCCTTTTGAACTAGACTTGCTGTTCTGAGATGTCTCTTGTGATTTGACCTGGAGTGTCTGGGTATATAAAATACAAGGATTTTAGGCATTGGTCACAATGATATGTCTAAGTTCTTCAGGGGTTACAACTCAAAACCTCTTCTGTTTTCTTGATCAAAATAATGACAGACCACAGAAGTTGAATCTGATTATAATATACCTTGGTGATAAAAGAAGGCAGGCATGCAGAAAGCAAGGCCCGTGTGTGCCCTGGGATTCCTTTCTGGATGCTCACCTGTCGGCCTTCCCAGATTCTCTCCTACCAGCAGCTCCATGGATCCCTGGGAGCCTGCAGGGCCACCTCACACTCACCTCTCCCGAGCCCGCCCTACTGTTCACTTGTGTCATGCTTTCTGTTCTTACCCCGGATTCCTTCACTCAAATGGGAAAAGTGGGCATATAAGTTTTATACACATTTCTCCTAAAATTTAAACTGCTTTCCTGCTAGTATTTCCTGACGTCAGAAGCCTGTGTAAAGTACACACACGGAAACAATTTCCATCTGGTGCATGAGAAAATACGGATCTGCCTCTATTGTAATTAACTTCCAGACTTAACATGGTTAAGTCGGATCCACAATTGTATCGGTTAATCTTTTTTTCTTTTTCTTTTTGCTTTTGGATAATTGAACTAAAAAATGTAGTGGTTATAACATGACTAAAGTTCAGCCTACAACTTCCTGTTTGGATGACAGGAAGAATTGTGAAATGTTTTGCAATAGTTGTGATTCTAGAGATTCTCACTACCCTTAAAGATAACTGGGGGTGGTGGGGGAGGGTTTTCCTTTTTTGAGATACTTACAGCTTCTTTAGAAGAAGCAATGGATCCTTTAGGTAATGAAATAGGCTTTGATGGTTTTATAGGTGATGGTATAACTGGCTGTGATGGTATCAAGTTTTCATCCTTAAACATCAGAACTGAGAGTTAGGTTACTGATTTAAAACAATGTATACGTAGTATTCTATCTGCAGCCCACGGCCAGCTCTACCAGAACTTAGAACAACTACTTCATATTTTAGCACAGGATACCAAAGGCAAAATCTGGAACCTAACTACAGATAGCCAAATGGTGAACTTTCTTAGAAACAGATCAAACAGTACGATGAATATTCCTTACTAAAGGATCATTATTGTACTGAAATCCTGTTTCATTAAGGGAATTAAAAATGGAGAAAATGAACCTCTTTCCTTTTTTTAAAACCCAGTTAACCAAAAGGAAAGCGACAGTCTAACCTTAGTTCCCTTCAGCTGAAGTGCAAAATCCGCCAGGTTTTCTTTAGATTTGGGGGAAACAGGTGATTCCACAGGAATATCTGTCTTTACAGCCTAGGGAGAGAAACGTTTTATATACACGTAAGTTTTTTGCTCTTACTAAAACTCAGAAGCTCTTCTGCGGCAGTCAAGCCCTTTTAGCACAACTTGCTTTCCACTAAATCCCTAACTTCCTCCTGCAACTACACCCTTATGAGTAACATGTGAAATATGTCCCTGTAGGAGCAACTTAGCGTTACTTCTCTTTGAGTTTTAAGCACTCTACATACACAGGCTGTACTCTGATTAGATTCTAGTGTTTAAAATCTGTCATTAACAAGCCCCTGATTTGCCAATTCTGGTCCTATTCTAAGTCTCAGAAAAAGTTGCCATTTTTCTATTTCTAATACCACTGACATAACTTAGTAAAAATTTGTTTTTAGTATCTAATAATAAATGACAAATTTGCCTGGTTACTAAGATGGTAGGTGTTAAATAAACTCCAGTAAAACAAGGAAAATGAAGGAATTTATTAGAATAGATTACAGATACTTGTAAGGCTGAGGTAGGGAGATTGCTTGAGCTCAGAAGTTTAAGACTAGCCTGAGCAAAAGTGAGACCCTGTCTCCACTAAAAATAGAAAAACTAGCTGGGCATTGTGGTTGCACACCTATAGTCCCTGCTTCTCAAGCGGCTGAGGGAAAAGGATCACTTGAGCCCAAGAGCTTGAGGCTCCTGTGAGCTACAGTTAGTGCACAGCAAGCTAGCTTGGGGCAACAGAGTAAGACTCTGTCTCAGAAGTTAAAACAGACGACAGATTAGAATAGGGGGTGGTGATAGAATAGCTAGCTGACCTATCTTTGGAAATTACTTAGATTCAAAGAACAGATTTATCACTGCTCTTTGGAAATAGTTTTTTTGTATATGGCCAGGCTCAATGGTTCATACCAGCAGTCCTAGCACTCTGGGAGGCCAAGGCAGGAGGATCCCTTAAGCCCAGGAGTTCAAGACCAGCCTGAGCAAGAGCAACATCTCGTTTCTACTAAAGACAGAAAAAAATTATCTGGGTGTGGTAGTGCACACCTGTAGTCCTAGCTAATCTGGAGGCTGAAGCAGGAGGATCGTTTAAGCCTAGGAGTCTCAGGTTGCTGTGAGGAAGGCTGATGCCACAGCACTCCAGCCTGAGCAACCGAGCGAGACTGTCTCAGAATGAAAGAATGAATAAATGAATCGTGTACTTTGAAAGAAAAGGGCTACATCCATCATTACAGTATATTTGATTTGATGCCTCTAAATTCTTTACAGAAACTAGCATGCTGCCTGTTCTCATTTTGCATATTTGGAGAATGTAAGTTCAAAAACAGAGATGGGAAAAAAGCTAATAACATGCCTGGGTGCTTGTTATTTTGTCCTTAATTCCTTTCTCACCCAATCTAGAAAGAAACATCTGGATAGTTTGTGCCCATCTAGAATAATTCTGAGAACCCAAAGAATCCAAATTTAGCTGTGAGACACTGTGATACTCCAACATTTCCTAGCTCCTGAGAGCAGTCTTAAGAATGACAATTAGACGAATCCAATTTGGTCTGCCTCAAATGGATCTGGGAGAATGACAGACTGAGAACCCACCGGCCTGCTTTTGAGAACATGGTATATACTCCAAAATTGCTCCTAATCTCCCCTAGAGGTCTTCCCGGACAAAGCTCCATATCAGATTACTCTCTGGAAATGAGGAAAAAAGGAAGGCAAGATGGTGTTTCCTGAAGCAGATTTTTTTTTTTTTTTTACCGTTTTATTTATTTTTTCGCAGTTTTTGGCCAGGGCCGGGTTTGAACCCGCCACCTCTGGTATATGGGGCCGGTGCCCAACTCCTTTGAACCACAGGCGCCACCCATGAAGCAGATTTTTCATGCTGAACTTCAAACCATTTTCCTTGGCTTGTCCAAGGAGTCAACAGCATAACTAAAATCGGAAATGATTGGCCCTCATTCGCACTGGACTAATCTAAACCCCGTGTGCAGCGTCTTCGGCAATAGACTCTCCTTTCTTTCTCAGGAAGGTTCTGAGCCAGACGTGAAGCTCCCAGGTCGGAAGCAAGAGGCCTGATGGGCCCAGAGTAAGATAATCCAATGATCGGGCAATCCTGGGCTATTCCAAGAGGGGGAAAGTTGTGGAGTTCAAGGGGGAAAAAGGTGGAAATGAGTTGAAGAAAGACAAAGTTTACATTCTAGATTAGCCATTCACTGTGGAAAAATCGATAGGAATCTGGATAAATGGAATGGACTCGGAAGAACAGGACCCATTCAGCCTAAGAGACAGCGGGGCAGGGTGGGGTGGCTCTTCTGTAAATGAAGGCAAGATAGTTAAGCAGAAAGAATAAACTGTACTCCTATTAGTGATATTCTTAAAATTGAGATTAAAGCAGTAGCAAGCCCTATGGCTACAGTAGCCTGAGTGGCTTTTTTTTTTTTTTTTTTTTTTAGAATTTTAGAAAAACATTTGAAAGCCAGCTGGGCCAAAAGCAATGCCTGCTCTGACTGAAAATGTACACAAGCCATCAGTGGAGAGGCCCCAGTTATGAGGAAATCCAGGTTCTCCGTGAATCTAGGTACTCACCTCCCCACTTAGTGGGATCTCAATGGGCTTTGGCTTCACATCGATCAGGTAGAAGGTGCGTGACAGGAGCAGAAGGGAAGGGGGGACATTCTCCTTCAGGTGGAGGTCTTGCCACTAGAGAACGGGATAAACCGTAGAATGTTACAGCCAGACAATGTCGGCCGCCTACTGCTGCCCCCAGCTCAGGGGACACATCGCGGCAGCCTCCTGAGGCAGAGGGGGACTTCAGTCACTCTCAACCCAGTCGTGGATCAAGGTAGCTAAGTATCTTCTGTTAGACAAAAAGTAGATCATGTGGAAGGATAAAAGCCTCACTAAGAACCTAAGAAATACATGTTAAAATGAGAACGAGATGTAAGTTTTCCAGTATAAAATTGGCCAAGCATTGTTTTTTTTGCAGTTTTTGGCCAGGGGCTGGGTTTGAACCCACCACCTTCGGCATATGGGGCTGGTGCCATACTCCTTCGAGCCACAGGCACTGCCCTGGCCAAGCATCTTTTTAAAAAAGATCTTATATCAGGAATACATCCACAAGAGACAAAATTCAAAAGGTAAATTAAAGGTTCAGTAAAACTTAGTCCGCCTTCCACCTCTGTTCTCTAGCTACCCTCTTCCCGAGAAGCAACCAGTGTTACCGATTCCTTATGTAATCTTCCAGAGACAGCCCCTGCGTTACAAATATACATACTTATATAGTCTTCCTTTACACAAAGGGTGACATACACACTGTTTAGCTTTTGCTTTGTTTTGTTTTACTGAAATATCTTGGAGATTGTTTCATATCAATAGATAATAGAGCCACATCCTTTTTAAATATCTGTAAAGGATTCCATTATATGGAAATGCCATAACTTACTTGATCATTGTCCTATTAATAAACTTTAGGCCGAGACCTAAAGCTGCAGCTAGAGGGCGAACACAGGTGAAGTCTGAAGTTTTAATCATGAGGGGGATCTGGCACGGAGAAGTTCTCAGGTGCTGGCTTTGCAGATGGAGGGGCCAAGAAGCAATGAATACAGGTGACCTTGAGGTCTGGGGCTAAAAGCCAGCCAGGAAACAAGGACCTCAGTCTTACACCTGCAAAAACTAAGTTCAGCCAGCAAACTGAATGAGCTTGGTAGTGGGTCCTTTCCCAGAGCCTGCACTTCTGACCTACGCAACATTAGCTAATCTAATGGCTGCAGTTTCCAGCCTTTAAGCTTGTGGTAATTTGTTAGGTAGCAACAGAAAACCAATATAGAACACCATCCCACTCAAACTGAAAAATCAGTCTAGCTTCCTCAGCATCCCACTGCTCAGTGCAATAAGGCAAATGAAGTATGATGGTTCACTTGCAAAGCCGAAATCACAAAATGAGCTGTGCAATCTGCAGGAGGGAAGTTGTGGTGAAGAAGGCCAGTCCAGGAGCTGCCGCTACTTGCCTCTGTGAGCTGTTGTAGCAATTGCTCCTCGGTGAGACCCAGTGATCTCATCCCTCGGGCCCTACAGGCAGCCTGTAGTTCTGACACGCTCAAAGTCCTCACCCCTTCTTTGGCAATTATCTGAAAGAAATATAGGCATGGGTATTGGAATTTTTTTTTTTTTTTTTTTGAGACAGAGTTTCACTTTCTTGCCCCAGAGAGAGTGTCGTGGCCTCATAGCTCACAGCAACCTCAAATTCTTGGGCTCAAGAGATTCTCTTGCCTCAGCCTCCCAAGTAGCTGAGACTACAGGCACCCGCCCCCACGCCCGGCTATTTTTAACGCCTCGCCCTTGCTCAGGCTGGTCTCCAACTCCAGAGCTCAGGCAATCCACCCGCCTGAGCCTCTCAGCGTGCTGGGATTACAGGTGTGACCACATGTTGGATCTTTAGATTCCAGTTTTACTGAGCCCCTAAATTCTAGCAAATCAGTGGAATCACAGAATCTGAGGCGTTCAGTTTGGCCCCTACGTAGACTGCTACATAGGCAGCTTAGGAAGGTAGCGATTGGTTTTTTTTTTTTTTTTTTTTTTTAGAGACAGAGCCTCAAGCTGTCCCTCTGGGTAGAGTGCCGTGGCCTCACAGCTCACAGCAACCTCCAACTCCTGGGCTCAAGCGAGTCTCCTGCCTCAGCCTCCCAAGGAGCTAGGACCACAGGCGCCTGCCCCAACGCCTGGCTATTTTTTGGTTGCAGCCGTCATTGTTGTTTGGCGGGTCCGGGCTGGATTCGAACCCGCCACCTTAGGTGTATGTGGCTGGCGCCTTAGCCACTTAAGCCACAGGCGCCAAGCCTAGCGATTGTTTTAAAGGGAATCCTGCTAACAGCTGTTAACAATATCGGAGGTATTTACGTAACTCCTCCTCAATCTTCTGTCACCAAAGTAATTCTTTCTTCTGTTGATTTGCATTTTGCCTGGTTGTGACATCTCTACTCCTTTTCTCTCCCATTGTGGCTTTAAGGTTCATTAGAAAAAATACTTCACTTGAAAAGATTTTGAGGTGCCATCTGTTGCATGTCCCAGTACTGTTCTGCTCCCATCTCCCCACCACCATCACCCCAGAAATGGTCCCAACTCTCTGGTCCACAAGACCCCCTTAATAAATAACAGTTTTTGCTTGGCGTGACCAAAAACTATGGTCCTTCTGGGACCAGTACTGTTTATTCCAAAGTTGTGAAAGCAACAACTGAAATCTAAATGAGACCAATGCTTTCTCAGTTCTGGGAAACCTGCTCACTCAGGCAGAAAGCTTTAAAGTAGCTGATTCAGATTCAGGAAACATTCTTTCCATTTTTTTAAGGGGCCTAATTAGCAGTTACAGTCCAAGGGTGCCTTTCTTCTACAAGGCTGTCTGGGCTCTGAGTTTCCTCCCGGCATCGTGCTTTGCACTCCTCTTACCAGACCAGCTCACTTGGCAGAATGCTAACTTTGCCCCCAGCCTCTCAGTAGGAGAGCAGAGGCGTGGGGAGGCTTCGTCAGGACCTACTGAGCTGCTATTTCCTTACTGGCAGGTCCTAAATGCTTTAGCTTAGTCCCAACTAAGTCATCCAGATTACTAACATTTCATATTAGCCTTCTCAAGAAAATGGGTCAGTGTATGACAAACAGTGCCTAAAATGAGTAATCAAGATTCAAGTGGTCACAAATGTTGTTTAAACTACTCATTTTTCCAGAACTGGTCCAAGACCAGATCCAACAGAAGATTCTCACTGCATCACAGAGGCACCCTACGGAATCTATCTCCCAATACCTTGATCATCCCCCCCCAGGCTACGGTTAAGCTCTTACTTGATCATCTGCTTTTATGGACTTCAGTTTCATTAGGAGCTGAAAGCGGAGCAAATTGTTGGTTCCAAAAGTCTGCAGTTCTAGCAGTTTGCAAAGGGCAACCAGCTGAGGTCGATCTAAGTGCTCCAGAGCTAGCTGGTCCTCAAATACTTTGGAAAACCGAACTATCTCTTTTGTGCTAGGCTTGTGCCCTGTCTGGACCTAGGCAGTGGGACAAAGACTTTAATTAAAATGTGTTTCCTACTTAATTTAGCCTTCCTAATACACAAACTGAAAGAGACATTTCAAATAGCATTTCTAGGCTCTATCCAGTGTCTGGAAACGGGCCCCATGGTGCCAAGAAGAGTACAGAACTCTGCAGTCACACTTAATCAATTGAAAAATCAGGCGTGGTTCAAAAGTTTGACTCTAAATCTACTGTTCTTTCCAAGAGGTTATTCACCAGTATGTTGAATACTAGTTACTACTTTAAGATAGGCTTTTCTGCAAAATACTATAAATGTTTATAATATTGTATGTTTGTAAATGAGATACTTGAAACTTCAAAGATCACAAATTTGGAAGATCCATGATGACATGAATTTTTCATATAACTCCCGGCCCAGAAATTGTCTGCTATTGTATCAAAGGCTGATACCTGCTTGACGTAGGACGACAGTTGTGTAGAGACATCTCCCAACTTGGCTCTGTTCCTCCTTGCCATTTCTGTAATTGTTTCTTGAAGAAATTTTGCTATTTCCAACTTTGCAGCCATTTTCTTTTTCTGTTTTTCTTCCTTAATTGTAGAGGAGTAAAATGTTAATCTTTCATGATTGCAAATTGGTAGATTAAAAATGAGAGAAAAATGCCTGTCACTTTATCTCTATATCATGTGTTAATACCGTGTTCAGATCTGACTGAAGGGGTTTGTGAGAACCTAAGCAAATAAAAAGCCTCTATTTGGAACTTGTCTCCTTAATCTTACCTTTTATTTTTCACTAGTACAATAATCATAAGATAGATAGATAGATAAAAGATTTAGAATAAATCTCTCTCTCTCTCTCTCTTTTTTTTTTTAGAGACAAGAGTCTCATTTTGTCACCCTCGGTAGAGTGCTGGTGTCACAGCTCACAGCAAACTCCAGCTCTTGGGCTTAGGCACTTCTCTTGCCTCAGCCTCCCAAGTAGCTGGGACTACAGGTGCCTGGCACAACACCTGGCTAGGGATACTGTCTCTTATCGTGGAATAAACCATGTAGGCTGAGCCAACCCCTGTCTGAATGGCTCTGAATTTTTCTTTACAAACCATGAAAACTAAGAAATGAATGCTACACTAAAATACTTTAAACAGTAAATAAAAATAATTACAAGAACTCAGTGCTCTAACAAACATGCACTACACAGAAGAGAATTAAATGTATACTCAAGACATTGTGTTGCCCAGTATTTATTTATTTATTTATTTTTTTGAGACAGAGTCTATGTCACCCTCAGTAGAATGCTATGGCATCACAGCTCATAGCAACCTCAAACTCTTAGGCTTAAGTGATTCTCTTGCTTCAGTCTCCCAAGCAGCTGGGACTACAGGCACCCACCACAATGCCCAGCTATTTTTTGGTTGCAGTTGTCATTGTTATTTAGCAGGATGGGGCCAGGCTCAAACCCACCAGCTTTGGTGTCTGTGGCTGGTGTCTTACTCACCAAGCAATGGGCACCAAGCCTGCCCAGTATTTCTTAATCTTTGTTCATAATCAGAAATGTTGTATGGTAGCATTTTCAAAATAACCATGGTCAGAGCTCAAGGGGATAGAAAGGAACAGGGAGCTGCCTTGTTTTGTATGTGTGTGTGTGTGTGTGTGTGTGTGCGCGTGTGTGTGTGTCTGTGTGTCTGTGTTGATTCATTTAAGTTGTCCAGGAAATGCTAATGACCATTCAACCATAAGAATTTGTTGATTTTTAGAGAGATCTTAAAAGACTCAGCCAAAATAATTTCTTAAAAAGGCAAAATCACACAATGGCAATACCGTGGTTAGAACCTATTTAATCCCGCATTTCATCCATCCATAGTCTTTCTTTTTTTTTGAGACAGAGCCTCAAGCTGTTACCCTGGGTAGAGTGCTGTAGCGTCATAGCTCACAGCAACTTCCAACTCCTGGGCTCAAGCGAATCTCCTGCCTCAGCCTCCCAAGTAGCTGGGACTATAGGTGCCCGCCACAACATCCAGCTATATTTTTTGGTTGCAGCCATCACTGTTATTTGGCGGGCCGGGGCTGGATTCAAACCTGCCAGCTCAGGTGTACATGACTGGCGCCTTAGCCACTTGAGCCACAGGTGCCGAGCCGTCCATATTCTTAATATCCATCCATTTATTTATTATCAACTATGTAGTTGGTGCTGGGGATAAAATGAGCACAAATAGATAAGACTTCCTGCCTTCCCAGAACTTCTAGTCTAGTGGAAGAGACAAACATTAGTGACCAATGATAATCCACATTAATGTAGAGGCATAATGGGTAAGTGCCACACCAGAGGAATGCACAGTGTCAGTGTATGAAACCCCGGCCAGGCAGTTAAATCTTGCAATTTGATTTTGTGCTAATGTCTCCCACACCACTCTTCACATCTCTATTCCTATTACCGATCTCATTACTCAAGCTCTGTCGCTCTCCTTGGGCTACTGCAGTTGCATTCCAGATGATTTCCTGCCGTGGCTCTGCCCTCTTTAGTCCTTCATGCCGGCAAAATTATTTTTCCAAAGCACAGACTAATCCTGTCACCTGCCCCTGCTTAAAATGTTACCTTCTGTATTTCACCAGGGACAAAGGTAAAGTCTAAATTTTCTTAGGCAGGTAGATGGTTTCCAACCTGACCCCAATAGTCACCTTTGTCTGTTTCCTGCCATCGATCCCCTGGGACTCTCTGCTTCAACCACAAAAAAACCAACTAGTAGTCTCTGATTATGCCATACTCTCAAATCCTTGAGCCATTTTATTTATTTATTTTTTTTTTTTGGAGACAGGATCTTACTCTGTTGCCCCAGGCTAGAGTACCATGGCATCGTCACAGCTCGCAGCAAACTCAAACTCCTGGGCTCAGGGGACCCTCTTGCTTCAGCCTCCAGTAGCCGGGACTATAGGTACCCACCACAGTGCCTGGCTAGTTTCTCTATTTTTAGTACAGGTAGGGTCTTGCTCTTGCTCAGGCTGGCCTTAAACTCTTGAGCTCAAGCAATCCCCCATCCTTATCCTCTGAGAGAGCTAGAATTACAGGTGTGAGCCACTATGCCTGGCCCCTAGGTTGAGCCATTTTAAATGCCATTCTTTCTATCCAGAATACCTTTCACAGACTGCGGTATAATTCCACTCACTCCTTAAGTCTCAGTTCCAAAGTAACCGCTTCTGTGAGATATTCCCAATGTTACTGATTTAAAAGTTGCCCTCTTTGCTTCCATCTTCTTCAGGCCATACACTGTGTGACAGATGCCACCGAATGAATGGAGAGAATAAAGCAGCCTCCTCTGTTTGATAGCCCATCACCTTCACAGAGACCACCAAGCTCAGTGAGGGGACCCTCTTCTTGGGGGCTGCTGAAGGGTCTGTTTGCTGAGTAAATCACACTTACTGTCCAATTAGTGACCCTGGTAGCAGTGGATTTTGGTTTTTATTCTTTCAACAGTTAAAAACAAGTTAAAATTCAGTGGAGTCGTTTCAACAAATGGCGCTAGAAAAACTGAATATCCATATCAAAAACAAAGTAATCTAGACACTGAAACATTTTTAAAAATTATACATTTCACAAAAATTAACTTAAAATGGCTCCTAGACCTGCATGTAAAGTGGCAAACTATAAAACCGCCAGAAGAAAACGAGAGAAAAATCTAGGTGGCCTTTTGTGTGGCATCAAAAAGCATGATCTATGAAAAGAAAAAAATTGGTAGATTGGATAGCATTAAAATTAAAAACATTTGTTCTGTGAAAGACACTATTAAAGGAATGAAAAAACAAAGTATTTACAAAATACATATCCGATAAAGGTTTTTTATCCAAAATATACAGAGAGGATATTGCTTAATAATTAAATAAAATATCATCTTTTACTGAGAAAAAATTTTACAAAGACCTCAAAATGCTTAACACAATAACTAAGAAAATGCCGTGAAGGTTATGTTAACTAGTTTGAGGAAAACATTCAGATTGTGTATAAAACCAGCACATTGGGCTCGGCACCTATAGCTCAAC